TGCGTCTGGTGGACCGGCTGGTACGGGTACTGGGGGGCGTAGGCCGGGGAGGGGGCGGCGGCCGGGCGCTGGTAGTGCTGCAGGGGGGCCTTGAACTCGAAGGGCTCGTGCCGCGGGTAGTGCTGCTGGGCCGGCGGCTGCATCGTGTGCAGGTGCGGGGCGGGCGGCTGCGGCGAGTACGACGGCGAGGGCGAGGGCTGCGAGGGCGGGTAGGGCGGGTACGCGTCGGACGCGTGGTGGTAGGCCCACTCCCTCACGCGCTCCTGCCGCTCCTGCTGCAGCGCCGCCTCCCGGCTCGCGGCCTCGCGCTCCCGCCCGCGCCCCGCCGCCGCGGGACCCCCGCCCGCCCACTGGCCGTAGGAGGGCGACGGGGCGGCCGCGGCGTGACCCGGGCCCCCAGGCCCCAGGCCCGGCCCCAGGCCCAGGTCGGCGTCATGGCGACCCGGCGGCCCCGGCGCGCTGGGGAACCCGCTCGAGTACATGGGACTGGTCAGGCCAGCAGCGGGACGCCTCTAGGACGCCCGACGACACTGAAACAAACACGTCGCCGACGTTGATGCACAGGGACAGAACACGCACACTGACACGAAGGACGGCCAATGTTAAATCAGAGCAAACCATGAATGGCACGCATATACTTTGAAACACTTTGGGGAATTCCCAAAGGACTTCGTTTTCATTTCAGCTTGAGGTTGTAAGTTAGGCGCCCATATGGCTACAGAGCTTAATTCGACGGGTAAAATGGACATCGTCAACTTTTACAAGCCCATAAAAGTTTGTACCATCCGCGAAATAACGGAGGCCGTTGCGAAATCCCAAAGGACTTTGGGAATATATATTTCACACCTACTACAACCTCGTGAAATTCCACATATTATTTTTTTCCCAGCAGTGCACGAATTCGATGCAAACCGTTCGCGAGGCCATACATACATATCGCAACAGGTTGTTGACAGGTTTGGCCCAGAAGGTACAAGTTTTTGTTTACACTGTCTAAGAAGGCTGACAATAAAAACCAACCGACTGACTATACTGCATACTCACGGAATCGTGGCGCCCATGTTGATCGCCACACGAGCAAAGACCTGCAAACATAAACAAAATCTCATTAGTATACCGTGTGGATTCCCCCTGGCGGGTGAAAGCTCAAACACGACGAGCCCATCACCCCCCCCCCCCTCCCCTCAGGGTGCTGATAAGAAGCGCGTGCCCCGCGGCCGCGGCCGGCAGCGATTTGAAGAGCATAAATGAATGGGTGACGACGGAACTGGCGCTAGGCGGGCGGCGGCCGGCTCACATGGCGGCGGCACGTATAGGTGCGCAGGAGGAGAGGTCAGGAACCCACCGTGTTCGTTCGATGGGCTTAGACAAGTGCGCCCCCCCCCTCCCCCCTCCTCGGGTCATTCCGTCGTATGGCACAATAACACCCCCCCCCCCTCTCCTCCCCCCTCGGGAAGCAGACGGCTACAACAGACGGCGGCATCACTTGGCGCGCTTTCTCGGTCGGGCCCGGTGCGGGGCCTCGGCAGCAAGACGGCAACACCGCATAATGTCTCGCTCTCTCGCTCGCTCTCTCGCTTTCTCTCTCTCCCTCTCGCTCGCTCTCGAGCGCGCGCGCGCTCGGCTGCTGGCTTTACCTCTTCGCTCGCGGCCCCACAGAGCCCCACTCCCTCAGCCGCCAGCGGCCCCCCTCGCCGCCGCCGCCGGGCCCTACAAGCAGGGCACAGCCGAGCAGCCCTTCAGCTCAGCCCTTCCAGGACGACTGCCGTGTGTACAGGGGTGGCCGCCCCGCCCAGGGCGTATCGTCCGCCAGCAGCCTCCATACATGACGCACGCAGCTGAGCTCCACTCGTCACGATCTACTATACCGTACCGAGTACTACTAGGACTCTAAGTCACGGCGCGCAGCGGAGGCCGAGCTGGCCAGGGTCTTGGTCGCCTTGCTGCAGTACAGGTGGCACGCGGGGGCCCGGGGGCCTCCTGCTGCAGCCGCTGCAGTACGGGCAACAGGCTTCCCATGCGGCAAACCTTTTCACTTCACTGGGGCGGCCCACCCACGACTCGACGCGAACGTCAAGAAGTGTTTTCGTTCGATCGGACGAGCGAGCGCTTTGCCCGTCCCATCTATCTCTCTCTCTCTTACTGAGTCAGGTGAGAGGCCTTAGTGATAGGGCCCGATGAGTGCAACAAGGACGGGGGCGCGAGAGGGTCGTGCGGAATCGTTGTTCTACGTACTACGATTCCAGGTGTATAAAACCGAGGGGACAAAAACCCGGAACTCTACACAGCAGACTGGGCCGGTATACTGACTGAGACAGTGTCACACGAGGCAGTCACACGCGGCCGCCACGCGCGACGGTGTGACGACGTCATGGCAAGTGCATTGGAAAGGGACCAAGGACAAGGTCCTTGGGCGGCACGTGTTGGGGGTCCGTGGGCCTTCCGCCAGGAGGAGGAGACTTGGTCAGCGGAGCGGGCTCATGTGAGACAACCAGGGAAAAGTGCCCCCAAAGTTTCAATGCACGAAATTTAAGAACCCGTTCCCCGGCGAGTTTTCATTCTGTCCCCTTTCTCCTTACCCGGCACACCCCGCCAACACCAACGCGGCGATCAGACATGACGTGACTGAGTGCAACAGCTGGGCCTGCGCATGGAGCGGGGTGGGGTGG